CAGCAGCAGCAGCAGCGGCCGCCATGGCCAAGGCCAGCGTGGAGCTCACCCGGGAGCTGCAAGGTACGAGGCTGCCTTGGTCTCTGGGACGCCCGGTCCGGGAGCATCCCAGACCCAGTGCGCTCCTCCCCGCGGTACACCCCAGCCTGGTGCCTCACGCCCCTCCCCCATGCATCCCGGCTCCATGGCAGCCCCCTGCCCCTGCATCCCAGCCTGGGATCGCTGTCCCTGGAGCATCCTCTGCTACCCTCCACACCTCACCCTGTCAGGACCTTTTCGTCCCGGAGCCGCCCGTCCCGCTCTTCCGTGACAGGTGCAGTTCCCTTGCGCTCGCTGAGGCTGACTCTCAGCGTCCCTGACCCACTCCTCAGCTAAGCGTCCAGTCTCCCCTCCGGAGAGTCCCCGCTTTTCCGCCGGGCGGGGCCAGGCCCGCCCCGCCGGGGACGGGAGCTGCCCCTGGTCCTGACCGCTGCTTGGCCAACACCCTCCCTCCTCCCGGCCCCGCCCCAGAACTGGCCCTGAAGAGCCCGTAAGAGCCGGGCAGCGCCCGGGCCAGTAGGGCAAAGAAGGGAGTCAGGGAAGAGGCCCCGGATTGGAGCTAAAACCAAAAGCAGGGGCTCTGCGGCTCGCCTCCCACAGCCCTCCAACCAGCCTGTCCCCTTCGCACTTCCCACCACCCATACCTCAAGCAAGGCCTCTCCTGTTTGCGTGCTTCTCAGACCTAACCCAAACCAAGGCCAGGGCCCCAGCACTGCCACAACCCCGACCCCCGGAGGCGGGAGCGCAGCCTAGCCCACGCAAAGAGCAGGATGCTCAAGGATACTCAGAGGCATGGTGCACTGTGGCGACTTCCCACACCTGCACACACACAAGCACAATCAAGAGATGTGTGTAAATACATTTTTACAGAAACCACACCCCCACCACACACACACACACACACACACACACACACACACAATATCTGGATGATTCTACCAGCAGATGGGTATGGGGCTCATTTAAACACTAACTCCTTCCAACCTCTCTCCATTCTCACCTCTCTCTCTCTTACACACACACACATATACAGGAACTACCTGGCTCCTGTGCCCCTTTCGGCATACTCATTCACACTTACCCAGCCCCACCAATGGCATACTCAGCCTCCCCAACATCTTCAAGAAGCATGCACACACTCGTAGTAAAGGCAGACACTCACACCCAGACCACCTAGAATACAGTCAGAGGGACACCCCCACACCCCCACACACTGACTCACTGTGTATGTGTCGATAGCTGTTGTAGTGCACGGGTTGGAAAAATCCTTCACACTCTCAAAAGTGTAAGACACATCCACCCACAGAGACAGTCAGCAACTGTCCCCTGACTCAGGAACATCAGGAGCCAGAGTTTTCTCCATACTCCACTCTGTCTCTAATAAGAAAAGTCAAAAAAAAAAAAAAAAAGGAGAGAGGGAGAGAGAAAAGTCACCCAAGAAGGAAAGATCTCTGTCCCTGTCCTTTGTCTCTCTGTTTCTCTCTCCTCTCATCTGCCCCTGCCTCTATCTGGAAAGCCCTGGGGAGGTGGAGGTGGCCAGGGTAAGGGTAAGGGGAATTCTGAGCAGGCCCCTACCCACCTTCAGACAGCATCCGGAGGTGCCTGAGCCAAGGGGCTGTGCTCCAACAACATCGTGTGAAGTTGGAGACAAAGCCTAAGAAGTTTGAGGACCGAGTGCTGGTGAGGACACTGGGCTTGGGGAGGGAGGTGTGGCTGGTAAGGGCCTCTGGCCAATAGAGGGAGCCTGGGGCAGGGGAGACAGGTGGGTGAGCACCAAGGAGACAAAGCTGGGGGGGGGGGTGTTAGGGGCAAGGCTGGCCTGGGTTTGATGCCCAGGAGCCCAGGGTAGGGCAGGAGACAGGGGGGACTCCCAGAGAAGAGCTGAGGGCTAAAGGAGGGCAGGGGCACCAGGGCCCAGTTAGTTGCCATGAGCTACTGATATTCTTTCCCTCACTCTGCAGGCCCTGACCTCCTGGCGCCTCCACCTTTTCCCCCTTAAAGTCCCAGCCAAGGTGAGTTAGGCTAAGGAGAAAGAGAACACCTGGCATGCTCCCTCCCAAGCCTGGTGATTCAGGTCCTCACCAGGAGCTGAGCCTCTCCATCCCTCCCAGGTGGAGAGTTCCTTCAATGTCCTGGAGATCCGTGCCTTCAACACGCTCAGTCAGAACCAGGTGAGCACCAGGGCTGGATCCCCACTATTGGGCCAGCTGGAAGAGGCGGGAGGAGGATTCGAGTCTGAGGCTCTGTTGCTCGATCTCCCCCAGATCCTGGTGGAGACAGAGCGTGGCATGGTGAGCATGCGGCTGCCATCAGCAGAGAGTGTGGACCAGGTGACACGACATGTGAGCTCTGCCCTCTCCAAGGTCTGCCCTGGCCCTGGGTGAGTGGCATATGAGGGTATCTCTAGGCATTAAACAACAGGGAAATTTCTTCCCTCCCTCCTTCCCCTGGATGTGGGTTCCTGGGACAGCAAGGAGAAGAGCTCTCATGTCCCCAGTCTGGCTTTTCCTGAGGATTTAGGAGGTATAAAAGGAGAAGAACTGAGAGCCTCCTTCTAGCTCTTTTGGGGATGATTTGTTCCCAGGTGTTTGATCCGGCGTGGAAATGCAGACACTCCAGAGGGGCCCCGAGATACATCCCCCAACTCTGAGACTTCCACATCTACCACCCACAGTGTCTGTGGTAAGCAGGGGGAGACATGAGGAAAGTGGGCCCTAAACCACTCTGCCACACAGCCAGAGTCCTTTATGCATGGTATGTTGCCAGGGCATGTCCCAGGGGGGTCCACAGCTCTCATACCTCAGGAGGTTCATGGCATAGCAGGAACCCAGGGCACTGGCACATAAAGTGGCCTTAACTGTTCCTTGAACCCCAAGCTGGTTCCTCATCTACTTACCCTTCATGGAACCAGCCCATCTCCTGACCCACAGGTGGCTTCTCTGAGACCTATGCTGCCCTATGTGACTACAATGGTCTGCATTGCCGAGAAGAGGTGCAATGGGTGCGTTGGACAGGGACTTGGAAGGGGACAGGTGGGACCCAGAGGGACTGAGAGGGGGAAACAGGTGTGAGTAAGTTTCACCTCTCCAAGGATGTGGACACCATCTACCATGCTGAAGATAACCGGGAGTTCAATCTTTTGGATTTCAGCCACTTGGAGAGCAGGTAAACAGATGAGGCAGAGTCTCAACCCCAAATTCCCCACCTCAGCTGAACCCTGGCCCTTCCCAGGATCTCCCTTTGATCCCACTCATAGCCCCAGCTCTATCTCCCCAATTCCACCCCCCCCCACTGCCATCTATCCATCTAGGCTTTTCCCACCCAATGCCCTGGTCTCTCTCTCTCTCTCTTTTTTAATTTTGGAGTCTTTTATCTCATAAATCTACCTCTTTTATATATTTAGACCTTTTGAAAAGAAAGTTAAAAAGATTTTCCCACAGTAAGCTTACATGTGTTTGTTAGATTCATCTTAGATACTTTAGATTTTTTTTATTATTAAATCATAGCTGTGTACATTAATGCAGTCATGGGGTACAGTGTCTCTCTTTTTTTTTTTTTTTTTTGAGACAGAGTCTCACTATTCACCCTTGGTAAAATGCCATGGCATCACAGCTCACAGCAACCTCAAACTCTTGGGCTTAAGCGATTCTCTCACCTCAGCCTCCCAAGTAGCTGAGATTACTGGCACCCACCACAACAATGCCTGGCTTGTCTTTTTGTTGTTGTTGTTGTCATTGTTGTTTAGCAGGTCCAGGCTGAGTTCGAACCCACCAGCTCCAGTGCATGTGGCCAGCACCCAAACTACTGAGCTACAGCACCAAGCCCCATCCCTGGTCTCTTCTTACCTGCCCCAGCCACCTGCTTACCACCTTCCTTCCCGCTCTGTGTCCCCACAGAGACTTGGCCCTAATGGTAGCAGCCCTGGCCTACAACCAGTGGTTCACCAAACTATACTGCAAGGACCTGAGGCTGGTAAGAACCAGGAGGGTTTGGTGAGGGGGAAAGTGCCTCCTGGGCCCCTGATCTCAGGACCCCCTCTGTCCTCAGGGCTCTGAAGTATTAGAACAGGTGCTACATACCCTGAGCAAGTCGGGGAGCCTTGAAGAACTGGTGCTGGACAACGCCGGGCTTAAAACGTGAGACCTGCCTCCTCCTTGAGC